GGTTCCTCCTACGTCTGCTTGTCTTACCATCCCCCCCCCCCCTTCGTGCCTGCAGGATTCTGTTTTTATCCCCGGCAACGTGTCTTAATTACTGTTAGTTGGGGCGTCGTATGTTATGCTAGCAGGCGCGGCAGCCGGGTTTATTCCCCCCCTGCCTGTCGCCAGGTTAGTCAGGCTGTCACTAACGTTCCCTCTTTCCACAGTGGCGAGAAGCCGGACCACCCAACATCTGCAACACGGAAGAGGGCACGGACGGCGTCAACGCGAGGACAGCAACGTAGTGGAGCACGGACACAGCCGGCCAGGGCGCGGACCAAGCCCGCACGCTTTGCCTCTACAGAGCCCTCCTCGGCTGGCTCGGACACGGACACCGGGCGCACACCTCAGCTGGACAATTCGGACAAAGCAACGGGTGGCACAGTGACACAATTCCCACCCTTTCAGCAGAAGATTGGACGACGCTGCAGGCCCTCATTGCGCAAGCACGTGGGCCCTCCTCGGGCTCAGGTCACCGCGACGGAGGAGGTGCAGTGACATCGGACAACAGTGCAGTGACGCTGCCGCCCTTGTTCCTGCGAGAAGCAGGCCTCGCCGAGACGCCGACAACAGTTCCCGCGCACCTCCTGCCCTGCAACTTCACCCTGCAACTGTGAGGACCCTATTCAACTCCCCGCAGCCAGCGGCGAGGCGTACTTACAGGGCTAAGTGGGTGGAGTACGCCGCCTACGTCTCGGCAGGACGGCGAGGAGAATGCCCCTTCGATGCTGCACCTTCGACTCTGGTGAACTTCCTACAATCTCTGCCCTCGCGGGGCCTGGCTTACCGCTCTCTGCACGCCTATCTAGCGGCCATCGCCTTCGTCCGCAAGCTACACGGTAGGAGGGACCCAACTCGGCAGTTCCTGGTCACCCAACTCCTCAAGGGGCACGTAACTCCGCACAGCGGGCCCCTGCACGGCGTCTCCCTGTGACGAGGAGCCCCCTGCATCGCCTGCTGCGGGCACTGGGAGGCGTATGTAACTCCGCCTATGAGAAGTCTTGCTACAGGGCGCTCTTCTCCCTGGTTTTCCACGCCTGCCTACGCCCGGGTGAGGCGGTCTACGTGGAGCATGGACGACACACGCTCAACCTTGAGCAGGTATCACTTACGACGGCAGGAATAGATATCGTCTTCAACACCTACAAGCGCAGCGCAGGTCGCACGCCCACCCTCTCCCTGAGAGCGAACCCTTCCAGCAAGTACCGCCCGGTCCGTGCTCTGTCCAAATACTTTAATTACAGGGGCCTGGGCCGGGGCCCATATTCAAACACGCCGCAGGCGCTCCTGTCACCAGGCGAGTTTTCTCCAGGATCCTACGCACTGCCCTCTCGGCGCTCTAGGCTGCCTCCAGATGACTACGCTCCGCATTCCTTCCGTATCGGCAGCGCCACCCAGCTGTCTCGGGACGGGCTCGCCACATCAGAAATAATGGCAGTCGGCAGGTGGAAGAGTAGTGCTCTCACATCCTACGTCAGACGGGACGTTGTTGCTCTGCCACTTTGAGTGCCTCACGCGGCCAGCTGGCACTCGCCCTTCGGGGGGGGGGGGGGTCCGGCCGCTGGCCTGCGGTGGGGGTGCAGCGCCGGTCCCCAAGTGTCCCGCTGTCCGCAGCTAATACTTTGCCCAGTCTAGGTGCTAGTAAGCCCTACTTGTAGTCACACCCCCTTCTCCTTATTCATTAGGTCTTTTACGGCCTCTTGGCCGGGTACATTACGTGTTATGTGGTCTCTCACTTATTAGTTATTCTTTGTGTCCTGCCTGTTATATCCTAGTGTTATATAATTACTACACATTTGCACTCGGCCTTAATTCTAGTACCAGTTAACCTTTAGGTTTCTGCAGAATTAGTTTCCATGTCACTATAGGCTAAGGTCTCATACTTAATTACTACGGGTGTACCTTAAGTTAAATCTAGTCCTCGGACTTGGAATTGTTACTGTTAATTCTTACTTTATATATTTACTTTATATATTTTAATATAAACTTTATATATTTTAATATAAACTTTATATATTTTAATATAAACTTTATATATTTACTTACTTTATATATTTGAAACTTTATATATTTACATGTTCTGCAGAAATTAATCTTCAATAAATTTAAAGCCCCATACTGCCAGTATCTTTCTCCCCCTGATCAGAAATACGTACAGCATTTTAGGCAAGTTGTAAGAGGAAAGACTTAGACTAAAACTTAATACTAATTAAGATCAAAAGCATAAATTGAATAGGAAAAAAAAGAAAAGGAGAATTATAATAATTACATGATGGATAGAACAACAGAAAATGCAACAGAACAGCAGAAGGAATTTTAACTAAACAGAAGGTTACAATACAATACAATACAATACAATACAATACAATACAATTTTATTTAGGTAAGGTACATACATACAATAAATATTTACAAGGATTGTTTACTTGTACTGTACTGACTGTATTGACTGTACAATTTTATTTAAGGTTATAGATGGAAGATAGGAGTTAAACAAGTTGGTCAATATACAATTGGTTGGTTAATGATCTTGCTCAAAACGCTATGCATATTAATGGCTTTAGGTATTATATGACTAGCTCTATCTATAAATCCAACTTTATATTTGCAAATCATCTATTTTTCCTGAATAAAAAATTTGAATTTGAATAATGATAAGTTGGTCAGTTTCTTCTCTTACTTTATATATTTGCCTGTCGTATCTCTGTTTTCTGATGTGTGGTTTGGAGCTTCATAATTATCATAATTATAATTATTAACATTTTAATCATTATTGACATTAACACAAATATTGCTAACCAAAGAAAACGTGAGAGGAGTGTGGGAGGGAGAGCGCGCGGGGCCGCCGTCACAACACTCACCCGCTCCTGCCTCCTGTTGCTCTCCGGTGCTCATGGCCGCCAACACTTAGGGAAAGTGCTAAGCAATTACGACTATATAACACCACGAAGAGGTCGGGATAAAAACGGGAGACATCTCCCGTCACGCAGGGTGTAGTCGCACCTCCACAGATCTCCAGCATCAGCTCTTGATACTGGTAATGGCTCAAAAGGGCCACCACTTACGGGCTGTGAATAATACAATTTCACCACCTTACCACCCACCACTTACGGGCTGTGAATAATACAATTTCTCCCACCCTACCCATCAACATTGGTGTTCCTCAGGGCAGCATACTTGGCCCTCTCCTCTTTCTCATCTACATTAATGACCTTCCAAATGCCTCCCAACACCTCAAACCAATTCTATTTGCTGACGACACAACCTTCATTTACTCCAGTCCTGACCCTCTTGCTCTAAATGCCACAGTAAATACTGAGCTAAATAAAGTCCATCTTTGGCTAACTGCCAACAAACTCACCCTTAACATTGACAAAACCTTCTATATTCTGTTTGGCAATAAATCCTCTAGTCTTATAATTCTCAAAATAAACAATACCCAAATTTGTAACAAATTAGATGGCAAATTCCTTGGCATTCTCATTGACCAGAAGCTGAATTTCCAGGGACACATTCTAAATATATCAAAAAAAGTTTCAAAAACTGTGGGCATTAAATAAATAAATAAATATATAAATATGTTTATTCAGGTAAGGTACATACATACAAGTGATGTTACATTAATGGATTGATATATAGATAGAGCTAGTACATACAATGCCTAAAGCCACTATTACGCAATGCGTTTCGGGCAAGAAAAACATTAATATCTAGAACTTAATTCTTTTCTAAGATCATTCTTTCTTCTTTCTAAGATCAGATATTATGTACCACGCCCTGCTCTGGTGACTCTCTATTACTCCCTTATCTATCCTTATCTCAACTATGGTATTTGTGCTTGGGGTTCTACTACCCAAAATCACTTACGTCCTCTAATTACCCAACACAAAGCCGCTATTAGAACAATATCCAACTCTGGCCCCAGACATCACTCGGTACCCCTACTCAAATCTCTTAATATGTTAGATATTAAGTCACTGCACATTCTCTCATGTGTATTATACATATATAAAACGCTAAACTATAATGCCAATCCTGATCTTAAAAGCTTCATAGAAGGTTGTAACAGAACCCATGAGCACCACACCAGAAATAAATACAGTTTTGATATTCCTAGAGTACGTCTTAATCAAACTAGAAATGCTCTGCAAATCAAGGGGCCCAGAATGTGGAATGACCTTCCCAACCATGTTAAAGACTGTACCTCTCTCAACCAGTTTAAGATAAAAACTAAACACTACCTAATAAATTCCCTGTAATCTACCTCACTCCTCTATTGTCAACCCATGTCTGTTATTTTCTTTTTTTTTTTTCTTTTTTTTAATCAACACTGTTTGTCAACCTATTGTATTTGTGCTGCTTTTTCAGTCATGTTCCCCCTTTTTTTTTATCTTTATTTGTATTTGTTCTCAACATCTTTTATTCTTTATGCTCAATTAGTATTAAGTTCTAGATATTAATGTTTTTTCTTGCCCGAAACGCATTGCGTAATAGTGGCTTTAGGCATTGTATGTACTAGCTCTATCTATATATCAATCCATTAATGTAACATCACTTGTATGTATATACCTTACCTGAATAAACATCTGAATCTGAATCTGAATCTGAATCTGGCTATCTTGAGATGATTTCGGGGCTTTAGTGTCCCCGCGGCCCGGTCTTCGACCAGGCCTCCACCCCCAGGAAGCAGCCCGTGACAGCTGACTAACACCCAGGTACCTATTTTACTGCTAGGTAACAGGGGCATAGGGTGAAAGAAACTTTGCCCATTGTTTCTCGCCGGCGCCTGGGATCGAACCCAGGACCACAGGATCACAAGTACAGTGTGCTGTCCGTTCGGCCGACCGGCTCCCATGAATAGCCCTCGACCGGGCTATTCATGCCCGTGGCACCTCTTGGGTGGCTTAATCTTCATCACTCAATCAATCGGGATAAAGATTTGTGATGGGACGGTCGGAGATTTAAGGCAGACCTGCAGGAAGGGAGACCGTCGCTCTGTTCCATCCAGTCCAAGTGCTCCTGGCGGGTTTCCTCTCTCTCTCTCTCAAGGCCTTCGTGTTGGGCAACCATCTTGTGCAACTTTCAGTGTTCCTCACGCTGGCCTGGGGCTGTGGTGGCCATGTCTGCTCATGGATTCCACTGACTTTCTAACAAACATCCCATGGACTCTTAGGACGATGACCAGTGTAGGCTCAGGGCCCTAAACACCACCGGTGTGATGGTTGATACTGAGACAAAAATAGTCCATGTGCGGTTAAAAGCTCAGTACCTCAAGGTACAGTCCTTGCACCACTGCTTTTCCTTATTCTCATAGCCACCCCCTCCCCCATACACCCACCCACAAGCCACCCCTCCCCCATATACCCACCCTTTAGCCACCTCTCCCCATTATACCTATCCCTCCATGTACATTAATAAGTATTATATATTATGCCTCACAATTCTTAAATCAGAAACTTTCTTATTCTTAAAAGTAGTTACTGTATTAATTTATATCAAATGCCAAAGCCTTCTTCTTGACTACTGGTGTAGGACAGTGATACTAAACTCTTCATATTCATGTTGACTACTGGTGTAGGACAATGATACTAAACTCTTCATATTCTTGTTGACTACTGGTGTAGGACAATGATACTAAACTCTTCATATTCTTGTTGACTACTGGTGTAGGACAATGATACTATACTCTTCATATTTACAGTGTGGTTTCCCAGCAAGATACTGGTCGAATGTGAGGACTTGTTAACTAATGGTGTCTGGCAGATTGCAGGAAGAAACAGCCTATCAACAATAATAAAGAACCAAGCTTAAGAAGTCTCATTGCTATATTAGACCGCATACTGTATTAGAAACAAAGAATACCAACTCGCAATATGGCAAGCTCAAATGCAACAAAGAAGTTTCTTCAGCAAGTTTTGACTGCAGTGGCAGAAGGAGCGGGTTTTAACAAAAATCTATCCAAAGTATGTTACAATGTTCGTTAAAACTTATTGCATCATTTATATAAATTTTTATGTTGATTTACTTTAACCCTTAGACAGAGGTTATTGTAAATTGTTGATTCACAGGGTAATGTCATTATCATCATAAGAAGAATTACAAAATTATTGTCTGAGTTTTACATGTATAATGCAAATATGGATATAATAGGTCTATGTGGATGTAATGGAGTTTACTTTGACCCATGAAAACAATCCTGCTACTATTTCATGGTAAAAATTTGATTGTCATGAATGTTACTAGGGAAATGTGGTCATCATCATGTGATGATTTAAACAATTATTGTCTCAGTTTTACATATGTGATGCAAATATGGCTATAATAGGTCTCTGTGCCTCGCCTAAGGAGATTCGGGAGGCACTTTTGGCGTACCTCCTGAGAGACCCAGATTCTGCCTCTGTGATGGATCCATCCTTGTTTGAGTTCAGTTCTTGTGAAGCTCAGTGTCTCGTATTGGGGGCAATATGAGGTCTCGGAGTCTTCCTGGTTGGGGGAGTGCCCATTCTCGGTCCGCTACCTTGTCTCCCCCTCCGGAGGCATTCCTGCGGCTGCAGTTCCACCTTCAGCTGTTTCTAGGGAATGGGGGGTTCCCGGGTCACTCGGCGGTTGCTTGAGCAGTTTTGTGGGAGACTGAACTTCTCTGTGCTAGTTTACTCACCGGGTCGGGTTTGGCTTCGGCGTCTGTTCTGGTTGGCCTCTGTGGGCCTTGTCAGTTTCTGCATCGCCTGCTTCCTCTTCGGTTTTTTTCTGAGTTGAGTGCCTTGGCGCCTACTCAATGTGTTCATGGATGTGTCGTCTCTCAGTGGGGCTGTGTGACCAGTGTTCACCAGGCCGGACAGGAGCAGTGAGGTCCGTCCTTCCGTCGAGCTCACAGAACAGTGTGGGAGTTCGTGGCAGTTTGGCTGTTGCCTTGGGTCACTCGGCGTTCAACGACCTGGCCCCATTCGGACTAAACTCCGGTGATTCATTGGGTGAATTTCTGAGGCTCTCTTCAGTTCTTGGCTCTTTGGGGCTGGTCACTTTGACTCATCTGTTGGATTCTCGAGGTTTGGCGCTCTCTCTGTGCGGTTCATTCCCCTGTCCACCGAATGGACTGTCAACGCAGACTACTTCAGTTGGCTCTGCCGGACTTAGTGATACTAAACTCTTCATATTCTTGTTGACTACTGGCATAGGAAAGTGATACTAAACTCTTCATTTTAACTCCACCTCCAGGTAGTCTACCTGGAGGTGGACCTGTTTGCATCGGCGTGGTCTCGGCGTCTCCCGATATGTGTGTGGTGCCCTTCCCCAACTGTGGAGCCGTCTCGGTAGTCGCCTTTCAGCAGGTCTGTTCAAGGTGGGGTTACCTGTACCTCTTTCAACCAGTCCAGCTATTGCTTCAGGTTCTGGCTTGGAGTCTTACTGCAGAAGAGTCGTCCAAGTGGCCCTTGGTTTCAGGCACGGCTCACTCGGTGTCCGAACCCAAGGCGTTTTCCGCAGCTCCGCCTTTTTCAGCAGATCGGACCGGTCCGGTTCATGGCCGGTTCAGACGCTCTTTGTGTCTGGTCTTTTTGACATGGGTTCATCACCACTTGTATGGTGATCAGGTGGCTTTGTTGATGGTGTCCCACCTGCGAGCTTCATCTCAGTGACAGTAAAACATTTCCTGGTAATCTTTTTGCCATTTTCTGTCTCTTTGTAGGTTGTCTTCTATTTCTGATAGGGTTGTCTTGTCATTTCTTTGCTTTTTCAGGACCGTCATTTGATGCTGAATACTGTCGCCTCGTATTGTGTGACGCTGACGGAGCCGCTTCAGCTTGCGTTCAGGGTGAATGTTACTTCCACCCCATTCCGCAGGCTCTCTCATGCTTTGTTTCACCTTCGGCCTGCTCATGCGCCACCTGAGCTGTCCTGGTCCTCGGACAGGGTGCTCTCTTTTTTTCTCTTCTCCTCGGCTTGTGGTGGTCCCTTCGGTTCAAGATTGTTTATGGTTCTGTTTCTGTTGGCATTGGCTTCTGGGGGTCTGTTTGGTGAGCTTCCTGCTCTCCTCCGGTGCAGGGGTTTCTGCTCCTTTGGTCCTGGTAGTCGGTTTATTCGATTGCAGCCGTCCCCTTTTCTGGCGAAGAAAGATATGACGGCTTTCCAGACAGGCCCTTGGGTTATTGATGCTTGGTTGGTCAGGCCGGGGGTGCATCATGTGTTGCGTCTGGTTACGGCTTTACGTCGTTACCTGCACGCCTCTGCTTCGGTGGCCGGAGACATGCTTTGGGATGATCAGGTTTCCCTCATTCCCTGGTCCAGGGCTCAGGTCTTCCAGGTCGTCCGCAGGGTTATTAAGTCTAGCCAGCCTGTGGTCTATACCTGTGCCCATGACATTTGTAAGTTTGCTGCTTTGGCTGCTGTCTTCGGTAACATGTCTTGGGCTGACATTCGGGCACGGGATTTTGGAGGTCGAACAGGGTTTTGGCTGCCCATTATTTGGTCAACATTCCTGGTCCTGCTCGTTCGTGTGTGGCTTTGGGTTGCAGCCAGTTGTCATGACTTCGAGTTGAGGAGCACCTGCCACGCTTTACATTTAATGCTTTTTTTTTCCATCTTCTAGTTTTGGCATGGTTAACGCCTCTAGTCTCTCCTCGTAACTCTTGTTCTTCAGTTCCGGAAACCATTTTGTAGCATGCCTTTGCATGTTTTCCCAGTTTATTTATGTGCTTCTTGAGTTATTGGTACCGTTCAACTTCTGCATATTCCAAATTTGGTCTCGCATAAGTCATGAACAGTTTCTTTAGTATTTCACAATCCATATAAATAAAAGTAAGTCTGAAATTGGAAAGTGATGCATCTGCTCCTCTCATAAAGATCTTTGTGTTCTTCTGGTGACAGTTTACCGTCCAAAACCACCCGTAGGTCTCATTCTTTATTAGAGTTCTTAAATTCATTTCCATCAAGTCTGCACTCGCTATGTGAGAGTTTGAAGGGTGTTAATTGCCCCCTGCTACACTTTCCTGGTCATTCTGTCTGCGGTGCTGCCTGTTGAGTCGATGACACCTTCAACCACGAGTCCTGCCATGTGCATGCCGTGAGGTATGCTAGCCCAACAATACCTGTTCCTGCCCTGAAGTATTCCAGCCCAACAACTCGGTATCCAAAAATGACAGGTTGGATAACAAGAATTTGTCAAACTAGAGATGCTGTTCCAATGATGATACTTTTTAAGACGCTAGTGCTCTCTAGAGTGGAATATTGTTGCATAATGACAAGCCCAATCAATGATACCTGTTCCTGCCCTGAGGTAAGCCCAATCATACTGATTCATACCATGATGTATGCTGGTCCATTAATACCTCTTGATGGCTATCATACGATGAAAATACATGTATCTATTACATGTGTTTTGTATCTTATATATGTTGGTAGAATCTGCTTATCCTGGATAGTAAATATGTTATCTTTTGTAGCTACGTATTGTGTCTGGCGGAATGGGAAAGTGCACAGCAGAAATGAAGGTTGAACAAGAACATACTAATCGAGCTGGAATTTTACATGGAGGTCTCACAGCAACTTTAGTGGATGCTGTATCAACAATGGCTTTGATGACCACAGAACAAGCTCTTCCTGGGGTTTCAGTGGACATCAATGTATCGTAAGTTTAATATTCACTTACTGTAATATAAGCAAGTTTTGGAAGTTAAGTGTTGAATGAAATAAAATGCTCTTTTCTGGGTGGCTATACTAGCTGCTCAGGACATTGGGCGACATACCACCCACAATACAGTACTGTACTACCGAGTATCTGGCCGTGCACAAACCTGCCAAACACCTGGACCAGCATCTGGTGTGCTTGTAGAGGTGAGCATAATAATGGCCCAAAAACAAAGTAAAACTGCTGGGAAAGTACAGGCGAAGTAAAACAAACTACGAATCTTGATTAGAGAAGGAAATTAGCAAATATTAGTTATCAATGGTAAACAATGATGTGTCAATACACAGCCCGTCGGGTTACTTGATGCCCACGATCGTACCCGATTCCCATAATGAAGAAAAAAAGCAATAGGTAAGGATGGGTAGTTAGTTACTGAGGGGTCACACAGAGGGGAATTTTATTATATTTAGTGCTTGATATCTGTATTGGCTCCTGAGTAGATCCTGTCTGCATTCTCACACAAGGCACATGTTAAACATGATGTTTAACAGTGATAAATTCCAGGTACTCAGGTACGGTAAAAATGAGGACCTTAAACATAATACAGAGTACAAAACACAATCAAATGTACCCATAGTAGGAAAACAGCATGTAAAGGATTTGGGAATAATAATGTCTGACGACCTAACGTTTAAGGAGCATAACCAAGCAAATATTGCGACAGCCAGAAAAATGATAGGATGGATTACGAGAACTTTCAAATCCAGGGATCCCATCACAATGGTTGTACTCTTCAAGGCACTTGTGTTGTCCCGTCTTGAGTACTGCTCAGTACTCACTTCCCCCTTCAAAGCAGGAGAGATTGCTGAAATAGAGGGAATACAGAGAACATATACGGCACGCATAGACGCAATAAAGCACCTAAATTATTGGGATCGTCTCAAAGCCCTCCAAATGTACTCACTAGAAAGAAGACGAGAGAGATATCAAATAATATACACCTGGAAGATACTGGAGGGCCAAGTACCAAATCTACACAGTAAAATAACAACGTACTGGAGTGAACGACATGGAAGAAAATGTAGAATAGAACCAATGAAGAGCTGAGGTGCCATAGGCACAATCAGAGAACACTGTATAAACATCAGAGGTCCGCGGTTGTTCAACGTCCTCCCAGCAAGCATAAGAAATATTGCCGGAACAACCGTGGACATTTTCAAGAGGAAACTAGATTTATTCCTCCAAGGAGTGCCGGACCAACCGGGCTGTGGTGGGTATGTGGGCCTGCGGGCCGCTCCAAGCAACAGCCTGGTGGACCAAACTCTCACAAGTCGAGCCTGGCCTCGGGCCGGGCTTGGGGAGTAGACGAACTCCCAGAACCCCATCAACCAGGTATCAACCAGGTAAGGACCTGAGGGAAAATTAACTTTGCCCCCAAAAAAAGGGGGGGGGGGATGGCTGACCCATGGAGGCAGAAGACAAGGACTCTGAAAAGTAGTAGAATAGGCAGAGCACCCAAAACCTGAGAGCAGTCCTGCTTCACAGTTTTCACTTTGGGTGGGCAGAAGTAATTGACTTGTGACTAATGTTGACCAGACCACACACTAGAAATTGAAGGGACGACGACGTTTCGGTCCGTCCTGGACCATTCTCAAGTCGATTGTCCAGGACGGACCAAAACGTCGTCGTCCCTTCAATTTCTAGTGTGTGGTCTGGTCAACATACTTCAGCCACGTTATTGTGACTCACCGCTTGTGACTAATGTTAGCATGCTGACGGCTTTCCCTTTCCATACCTCATGATAAGCTTTTACAGTGTTTAGTTCTTTCCCTTCCTCCATCCCCTTTAGCTCTCAGGTTTTGTAATTTGTTTTTATTTGGATTGCTTCCAAGGAGTTCACTGCTCTCTACAGGGAAGATGCTATGCATGCTGTGTTGTGTGGGTGTGCAAGGACTGCCTGGATACCCTCATACTGGTACAGTACGAACTATTATCATCATAACAAGCCAATTGCAGTGCGCAGTGTCACTGCACTTGTACCAACATAAACGCTGCTGCTTGCACCAATATCACGAGCTGTCATTCTACTATCACCACCACCACAACTTCTACCATTATTATAATTACTCAAACCCACAAAATCACCGTTTTCATGAGAACCTTTACGATGTGGCACCAGATTTGTCCCACTTTGCAGCACAAAGAATGACAGTACAGATGGTATTGCTTTGCTACCACCACCATCACCATTGCTCTCTTTCATTTACTTTTTGTTGTCAGTCATTTATTTCATCTTTTGATATATTTGACATACATTCCTCTTCATCATTTCCAGCACTAGTAAAGTCATGAGTGCACCAGTGTTAGTGGTCACTTGCACTTGTAAGGCAGATAAGGAAAGATAAACATCAGGCATGGTGGGAGTCTTGACTGATATTCAAGAGAGTGAGTGTATGCAGGAAATTTTGTTCTGCATGATGAATGTAAAGAAGGGAAATGTAAGAACACCATTAACACACCTTATGAACAATTGGGGTTGAACACATTTGTCATATGCTGTGCACAGCTGTCTCCCAACAATATGTGATATGTGCAACAGTTTAAGGCTTAAAGTTATTAGAACAAGCAACTTCTGAACAGAAAATGTCAAGAGGTATAGTAAGGTCACCATAAACAATAGGAAAAGTGTACAGGACTTACCAAGAGGGAACTCTTGAGAATTATCCGAACTTGAAATTATTTGGATTTCATGTTGTATTGTCAAAACTGGTATTCAAATTTCCCAGATTAGCAGACCGTGGATGCCCAGATTCCTGTGGTTTACTGTATTTAGGCAGTATTGACAGCAGTAGACTCTCCTTGTGTATATTTCTGGCATATATTTTAATGTGCAGTCCAATACTGTATGTCCATAATAAAGAATTTTATATTTGTTGATCTGTGTACAATGTTAAATGATCTAATTATGTAAAATGATTAATTATAAAAAAGGCTCTAAGCCAGGAAGACCTATTTAGACTAATTATGAAAAATGTTGCTTTAATTCATTTTATTCTTTACAGGTATATAAGTGCAGCTAAGACTGGGGAAGAAATAATTATAAATGCAGAAACTCTCCGAGTTGGAAGAAATTTGGCATTCCTGAATGTTGACGTCATAAATAAAGAATCTGGTGCTCTTATTGCCAAGGGCAGTCACACAAAATATGTTGGATAAGTTATACTAATACTGTACAGTATTAACTTTCCTGCATATGCCATTTTGTGAGAAAAACCCATAATAGATATTTTATAAATACAGTACAGTGTAATTGTACATTTATGTAGACATTAATTTTGTAAATATTGTACAATATATTTGAGTTGTTTAGGCCCCATCTTTGACACTAAATATATATATTGTATTTGTTGATAAGCTTTTAATTTTCAGAAATGTTAATGTATTTTAGTTTATTATACATGTTACTTCCCCTCAGTAGGCGGTGCCTTGAAGTGGTGGGTGGTGAGAGGCGCTCTTGTGTGTCACTCACTGGTAAGAGGGTGACACACAAGACCACTTCCAGGTCTTCTTCCTCTCCGATCTGTGGCCACAAGTGTCCCCTCATGGATCACTGACCATCATTTCTGACTTTCCTTCCCACTCATCTCCTACCCCACTGGGTTAGCACTAATTCTGTATTTCCCCCTCCTATTTCCCCCTCCCGTTGCCCTCCTTAACTTTTAGAACCCCATCTTTCCTCCCCTCAGTGTTTTGGCCCTCCCCCATAACTGTCCATTAGGATGATGTCCATCCTCCTCCCAGTCTTCGTGTCGTCCGCTCTCATTATTCCTCTGCACAGGAGACTGTGGAGGCTGGTGCACAGTACATCGCGGAAGTGCATTTCCTGGTGGAATTCGGATTATGCTCAGGGTGTACACTGTAAGCATGCAGTCTGGAAAAGATACTGACAGACTTCGAGTCTTTTGTTTTGAAAGGTGAGTGAGATGGTCAATAGGGCCATCTGTACAGCTAAATTGAACAAATGGAAGTCCTGTCTCTCCACCATGAGTTGACACCCCCTCTCATTCACATCTGGAAGAAAATCTGCACAATTTCTGATAAATTTGTTCCAGACATATCACCTGTCCATCTCCATGGTACTGTTGTTGTGGATCCAGTGTTGGTCACGAACGAACTGGGCTTGCACTTTTCAGCCCAACCACTTGAGCTGGACGGTAGAGCGACAATCTCGCTTCATGCAGGTCGATGTTCAATCCCAGACCACCGTCAAAGGGATTGGTTACCATTCCTTTCCCTCATCCCATCCCAAATCCTTATCCTGACCCCTTCCAAGTGCTATTAGTCGTAATGACTTTATGCTTTTACATGATAATTCCCTTCCCCTTTTCAGCCATTAGTGTCAGTATTCATCTTCCTTCTATATTTTTTTTTTTACCTCGAGCCCCTTCTTCATTCTCCTCCCTTTGTCTTTCGCACTCACCTCCAGCTTCCCTATAATAATCTCTATCGGAACTGTTCTGTCCTTGTGTGTTTCTACGGCAGCAGGCTCTGACGACACTCATTACGAAGTGCTTCATCATCTCCTTTAGCATGCCTTTCATTACTGTATTTACTGAATATTTATAATCATATTTGAGAGACATCATCAGTCCCTAAAGATTGGCACGAGATGGTTCTTCCTATTTGGAATCCCATCCGAATCTCAAGGGTTCTACCCTGAGGATTTTCGCTCCATTGCCCTGGCAAGTTGCGTTTGCAAGCTTTTCAAAACGTATGGTCAACACCCATTAATGTGGCTTTTAAAACACTATTGCTAACTCTTGATTTGGCCTTCACAAGTGCCATAGCATGACTGATGTTTCAGTGGACTTGGAGATCTACATTTGTTATGCCTTTCTCATGAAGACCTCCATGGTTCAACCTATTCTCTTACTAATTACAGTATGTTGCTTTTTGCTCATATGTGCACTAAGGCTGAAAATAGCCATAAAGTACAGTACTAGAAAATGAAAGCGTCTCGTGAAAGTGACGAACTGTTTCATTTTTTGGTTTTGGGTCCTCTGGCTTAGTCTCTCAGGAGAAGACACTTTAAATTAAAGGTTTACATGACAATTTGAAACCTTAGGAGAACTTGCTGCTCTCCTAACCTACCAGAGGACCCAAAACTTGCTGCTTTAGATCCATTTCATTCAGAAAATTAATTTCCATTTTGTTTTAAATTCCAATACGGCGATTTTATGGCCATAATGCATAAAAGCGAAAGACTTCATTTGTAAGAGGATGGGCTGCATGGTTGCCATTCTTTTTCCAGGCCAAAAAGACCGATGACACCACCTGGAGATAGACTATATTATCCGAGTTATATTCTTTTGGCCTCCATGGCAATCTCCCACTCCTTCAAAGATTCCTCTTGTCACTCCTTTAAAGGTAGACATGATGCTCTCTGCTATCACGGAGACGGCTCTCTTTGGCTCTCTTTTTTCCACGATTGCCATGTCATCCTGGGCCACCAGTCATGGCTTCAGGGTCTTCAAGTTCAAGATTTGTGCTATGACTTTTACTCAGACGCAAGTCATTCTTCGTCCCCCATTGTCACTGTTGTATAAAGATTTGGCTAAACGTTTGGTGTTGGTTTTTGACACTCGTTTGTCTTGAGCACCTCATATTCCTTACCTTCGAGACGAATGCTCTAAAGCCCTTACCTTAAGTCATGTCCTGTACGTCCTGGGGAAGGTTAAGTACAGGACAGGGGAAAGTGCAAAGCCATTATGACTATACAGTATAGCACTTGGAAAGGGTCAGGATAGGGATTTGGGACGAGACGGGGTGGGGGGGGAAGAGAGTAGAAAATGTTTCATTGGGGAGCTGATGCATGCATAATTCTCTATGTACTCTTCTCTTGTTCTGTCTAAACTTGATTATGGCTGTTCTGCCTCTCCTTTGACCTTTCGTCGTCTTCATGCTCTGGACCACAGTGGACTGCGCCTCAGCACTGGTGTCTGTCATTCGTCCCCTACCCAGAGCTTGTATGTTGAAACTAAGGTCATGTTTCTACAGGATTATCATAATTGTTACTGCTTTTCGCTACCCCACATGGTCTCGGCAACATCCTAATTCTCGCTCATGCCATATTTTGGCTGTAACCCTTCGGGTAGGTCCAGTTCCCACCTTCCTTTTCCTGGAAGGAAAAGATATCTCACTTGCAAGCTTCAACAAAACCTTGTGGATGAGACAGTGAAATCTATACTAGAATATCTCTTGAGAATTTGCATTACCTGCTAATAAAGACCTGACCAAATGTAAGCCACTAACAGAATTATTCACACATTCTCCAACACCATGTGATGGGATGTGAAAAGATATGCAAGTTTAGAGATAGCTCTGTAACAAATGGTCAAGTAATTATCAAAAGAAGGCACCAAGCCAGGGAGACAACATAGCACACCATCAAATTTGTAAGAAATTCAAAAGGAGCTAATTATTACTAAGGATGCCAATAAGAGAGCAAATGTGCACAAAGCGAGCCATACCAAAGTCAACAGATTCATCAAGGACTCTATAGAGGGACTAGTGACAGGTGGGAATGTAATTGTTAAAATATGGCACCACGAAGAGAGTCGGGAAACAAGACACGAATGTGCTGAAAATTGGGACATTTAACAGGGAGATGCATAAAAGGAATAATGCAATTCGGACAATAAGGAGCAGGGCATTGCTCCATTATGTGCCCGCGAGTTAATCTTGTATGGGCGATACGTAACCTCAACCTCGCTAGAGCTGTTTTCCACCACTTGTTAGGTGATAGGAGGAAGGCCTAGAGGACAGGCTACCCTTAAGCACGCACAGTTTGATACTGGCAAAAGGGAAGCACTGTACCAGTTGGCAAAGATCTTGCCAACTGGCAGAGAACTAATGTTCTCAGAATGTGTCAATAAACTTTTTTGAAGTAATCTACTACCAAAACTTTTAACCAAATATCTGCAGTTTGGCCCTGGTGCTGATTTATAACTTTTCCACTGCTGTCCAATAGATGGAAGGGAAGTGGTGGTGTGCATAATAGGCAAATTAATTATGAAACTAGCCCACCATATATGTAAGCTATTTAGCTTACTTTTAGCTTATGGTTTATATGTAATTATCAAAAGTAGGCACCAAGCTGGGGAGACTAACACCATCAAAGTTTTGGGATATTTAAAAAATGCCAAATATCACTAGGGATGCCAATACAAAATCAGGAGTGCATAAGGCGCACGCTATCAAAAGTATCTGATTCACCAAGGGTTCTATTCGGGGACAAATGATCGTGAGGGACAGTCAGGAAGCAAGACATGCACATCCTGAAGATCGGGACATTCAACAAGGATATGCATGACCGTAAGAGGGACACTGCAGTATTCCCAATACAAAAGGGAACTAGTTGGATGACAGGTCATAAAACGAGCATTAACAACCAAGTGAAACGTCTGGAGAAAGTACAAATCCACAATGGACAACAATAATTATGAGATATACAAAAGGGGCACCCAAGAAATGAGATCAGCCAAAAGAAACTACGAAAGGAAACTTTCCCAAACATGAAGGAAGATCAAAATCATTGTCTATATAGGAAATTAAACTATTGGTTAGTCATCTTTTATGGGTCCAACCAAGTTATAATGATAGTAAATGGGCAGCATAAACACTAGACTGATATTTTACATCAGTTTTAACCTTGGACATTAGAAAACATCCCATCACCCACAATTTTTTTGAGGTAAAGAGAATGAATTTAGGAATATACCCATAACGCAACAATCAGGAAGAACATCAACAAATTAGACTCAAAAGCCCCAGGTGTGGATGGAATCCAATCCATAGATATAAAGTAACTGGTAGAAGAACTATGCATACTGTTGATATTCAATTTTGACAAAATCTCTGGACCACGAAATAAACCCTTAGATTGGAAATGTGCAAATGTTACCCCTATTTTCATAAAAGGCATAAAGAGCTCAGCAGAAAATTACCATCCAATCAGCTTGACATCACATATGCACGCTAAAGGAGAGAATCATAAGGAAGCAAATCATTCACCATCTTTCAGTGAACACCTGTGAAATCGACACAAGTGTTCGTATTTTTGACAGTTTGTCAAAAATAGGTTCCCCCTTACACACCTGCTCACATTTTTCAAAACTATAACCGGTTATACAGACAAGGGCCTTCTGGTAGATGTAGTATACCTTGATTCTCCTAAAACCTTTGATAAGGTTCTGCATGAAAGACTGGCAAGGAAATTAGAGTCTCATGGAATTAATACTAGAATGGATAAAACATTGACAAAAACAAAGGGTCGTGCTAAATAGGGTCCGAATCTGACTGGTGAAATGTGTTAAGTGGGGTACATCAAGTGTCCATTTTGGGGCCAAT